CTGAGCTCCGTCCTCGGTAACATCACCACATTGGTTTTTCCGTCCCTCTAGGACTGTGCCCTTGTCTGACATCTCTAATGAATGGTGTTGCTATTCTTGAAGGTGGAGCCCATGACCTTACCATCCCCACCAGACCCCACCATTTCTGCACTTGGGGGTTTCTCATATCCATTTCTGTCCTGGTGTGCCAGATAAATTTTTAAAATCAACTTCCACACATTTTATGTTCAGACTGTTGATTATGATGCTATCCCCTAGTCCCTTTATTTAGGGTATACCAGGTTTTCTCTTTTGGACCACCAACCAGCTCCCAAATCATGGCATGGAGACATTTTTTTCCCCCGAGACAGGGTTTCTCTGTGTAGTTTTGGTGCCTATCCTGGATCTCAGTCTGTAGACCAGGCTGGCCTTGAAATCACAGAGATCCACCTGGCTCTGCCTCCTAGTGCTGGGATTAAAGGTGTATGCCATCACCGCCCTGCTTGACATGGAGACTTTTTATTAGCTATGAATGCTCATCCTAGCCAAGGCTAGATTCTGGCTAGCTCTTTTAACTTAAATTAGCCTGCTTCTCTTTACCTTTTGCCTTGGGGCCTTTTACCTTTTTTCTGTATGCCTTTCTTTTCCTGCTTCCCTGGAAGTCTCCCTCTTTTTCTCCTTCATCCTCTCCTCTTTTTTTCTCTCTTCTCTAGATTCCTCCTCCTATTTATTCTCTTTGCCTGCCAGCTCCACCTACCTTTTCTCCTGACTAGCTATGGGCTGTTCAGCTTTTTATTAAACTAATCAGGTGCCTTAGGCTGGCAAGGTGAAACAAATGCAACACATCTTTACATAATTAAACAAATACAGTATAAACAAAAGTAACACATCTTTACAATGTTAACAAAGGCAGCATAAACAAATGTAACACACCTTTACAGGGTTAAATATTCCACAACAGCTGGGCAGGTGGGGAACACTCAGTATTGGAGTCATTCCAGGCCTGCTACAGCTTGACCAGAGTTGCCTGGCTCTTATTTATCCAAGTCCTGGGCAAAGTCCCCTGAGGACCCCTGCAGCCACCCGTCAGCTCAGAGCGATTCTGCTGGCCTCTGCTCGGGTTTGGATGGCTGGCTTCTCATATAGGCACGTGTGCTGGCATTTGGTTCCTACTGGGTTGAGATGGTGAGACATTTACAGGGTGGCCCGGATGGGAGGTAGGGGCCATGGAGCGTCTAGCTTCATAAGTAGCTGAATGCCACGGGCCAGGTCTTGTGGGACTGGAATGGTCCCTATGAGAATGGGTTCTCCTGAGTGAGTGTGACACCTCTCGTGTCCCTTTCCTTACTCTCCTGACACTGTTGCTCTCCTCCCTGGGTCCTCATTAGAGCACAGCTGGTGCCAGGGATGTTTCCTTCAGCCTTTCATGAACCGAACAAACCCGTTGTATTTATTGATTTGTTTAGGTGAAGTACCAGCCTCAGGCATTTTGTTCTGGCAACACACACTGACTCAGGTAGCCTTGTAGCCTCTTAGGAAGCTTCATAACTCATCAACCACGGAAGGCAAAGTGCTAGAGTGTTGGCCCTAGCCCCACACTGTCTTGGTTCATTGGAGTTTTGACCTCATACATTTGATTTCTGACTATAGGAGATGTCAGCCACCTCACTGATTTTTTTTTCCTGTTTGTTTGCTTACATTTTGAACCCTCCCACCTCCTGTTTCTTATAGAAACCCTGTGCCTACTCTCAGGTCTGTGTTTCACTGTCAGACTCTATCTAGCATGGAAAAGCAGGGGTGGGAGTAGCCTGGTGTGACAGACACCTTTCCCCGGCATTCTCTGTGCCACAGCTCAGGCTCCCACTGTCTTGCTCACAGTTCCTAGCAAGGGTGCAGATCTCTGGAACGTCAGTGTCCTACTTTTCTGGCTGTGTGTCCCTTAAATACCACTGCACACCAAGGTCTTCCCTCACCACCAAGGCTCGGTCACCTGCTTCCTCTGCCATGCCATCATTGATACCAACCTCATTTCATGGACCGGTGCACCCTCCTCTTCATGGTATTAGCTTGTGCCCCAGCCACGAGGCGAAGTGTGACCTCCGCTGCTCACTGCGGACCTCCCAGCTCTTGTGGCCCCTCAGGAGGCCCTCTGCTCACCTGGGCTGTGGAAGTGACGACTAAATCAGTGAGTGCTCCCATAGCCTGGGGTTGCGTTTTCCTTACATAACATTCGCCTGTGAAGGTTTTGTGCTAATGGAAAAAAATTGCAGCATTTCCTACGTAAATTGCCTTAATTAAATATTCATTTAAAATTTAATGTAACTAAATGTCTTTTCCAATTTAAGGCCAAATCAAGTTTGTTTATTTATTTATTTAGGTTTTTGTTTTTTGAGGCAGGGTTTCTCTGTGTAGCTTTAGAGCCTGTCTTGGAACTTGCTCTGTAGACCAGGCTGGCGTGCATCACTACTGCCTGGCTGGACAAATCAAATTAAAGCATCTTACAGATGTAGCAATGAGCAGAATCATGGACGTTGGTGCTATATGGCATAGGTTTTCACTAGAGATGGATGAAACATACATAGTTTAAGAACATGGATGATGTCAGGAGTGGGGGTGGAGATGGAGAACTTGTTAATTGTGCAATATCCCTGAAAGCTGGAGAGCCCTTTGTGCTGATTTCCATCACCAAAGATGTAGCCAAGGATGTCCTTAAGACATTTAACTTTTTGTTTATGTGTATGTATATGCCTGTATACGGGTCTGTGCATATGAGTGCAGGTGGTCCAGGAGGTGGGAGAAGGGTGTTGGATCCCTTGCAGTTGGAGTTCCAGGCAGTTGTTAGTCACCCAACATGGGTGTACTAGTTACTTTTCTACCTCTATGATAAAACACCATGACTGAGACAAACTTACAAAAGAAAGCATTTAATTGGTCCATCATGGTGGGGTAGTGTGGCAGCAATCAGCCGGCATGTTGGCTGGAGCAGCTCAGAGGCAAAGTGAGAGAGACACGCTGGGAATGTGGGAGCTACACCCCTCCTCCAACAAGGCCACACCTCCTAATCCTTCCCAAGTCCTTCCACCAACTGGGGACCAAGTTTTCAGTCCTATGGGGGCCATTCTCAATCAACTACCACAGTGGGCGCGAGGAACTGAACTCCAGTCCTCTGTAAGAGTAGACTGAGTTCCTAACCATTGAGCCACCCAAGTATGTTTGTAGCAGCTTTATTGATTGTATCTCCAGGTGAACAACCCCAATGAACCGTAAGAAGGAATAGAAAAGCCATCCAGTGTGGTGTTTATGCAGCACAACCCTATGGAGCAGCTTGAAGGAACAAGCTTCTTTTTTTTTTTTAAAAGACAGGGCCTCACTATGTAGTCCAGGCTGGCCCGGAACTCACTGTGTGGTCCAGGCTGGCCCGGAATTCACTGTGTAGTTCAGGCTGGCCTGGAACTCACAGAGTTCCACCTGCCTCTGCCTCCCATGTAAAATTTGTGTTTCACAATGCTTGGCTTAAATGAACAAATGATATGTAGCATGGATGGGTCCTTTAGATAAGCCAAATGAAAGCACCCAAACCCACCAGAATATAATATAATAAATGTGATGAAGAATTTGTTGTTGGGTGATTTTCCCATTGTGTGGGTACCACAGAGGACAGTCACACAGACGGAGACAGCTGTGAAGTTGCTGGGCAACACTACCTTAAGGGACCGTTATTGTAATCTTGGGGTCCGTCACTGAGTAGAGCATCGCTATGGAGCATGTAACTGGCCTAAAGGGTGTGAAGTCAGAGGCCAGGCAGAAGTAACTGGTGGTGACAGAAATCAGAGTATTGGCCATGTGTGTGTGTCTGTGTGTGTGTGTGTTGTGTGGGTACACCTGTGTGTGTGCCTGTGTGTGTGCCTATGCGTGTGCATATTTGTGTATGCCTGTGTGTGTGCACATTTGTGGTATGTATATGTGTTTGTGTTATGTGTATGTCTGTGTGTATGTGTGCGTGCATGTGTGTTTGTGTGTGTGTGTGTGTGTCTGCCTGCCTGCCTGCCTGCCTGTGTGTTGGCAGTTAGTGTGGATAGGGAGCCAAGATGCTCTTTTTGTTCATAGGTTTGGGTTCTATGGGGAGAGGTACATTTGAAGTTCACTGAGTGGAACAGGAGCTTGTGTGTGCTTTATGTGTGGATAAAACCAGCAGAGACTGGAGGCTATAGTCCACAGAGCACACGGTGTGCCAGCTCTGGGATGTATCACTGAGCAAGGGGATCTGCCACTAACATGGCAGAGACAGTAAACATACGTAGAGAGCTAGAACACCCCAGCCTCTTTCCTCTGGCTTTGAAATTGCTCTCGAGTCAGGATAACTTTCAAATGTACACTTGAGTCACTGAGACGAAAGAAACTGTATCTGTGAAGATGTGTGTAACGTCTCACTGGACACCTGATGTCCATGACCCCAAGGACACAATTTATGGAACCCTGGAGAATCAGTGTCTGTGAAATACGTAACATATTGTATCTCTCACCGTGTGCCCCTCCTTGTCTCCAGAGCCCAAGGTGGTGTTTGCCAAGGAGCAGCAGACACGCAGTGAGGTGAAGGCAGAGGCGGGGGCCAGTGCCACACTGAGCTGCACGGTGGC